ACATGGGGTATGCGAGTCCGTCCTTCTCGCGCACAGCACCGCCAGACACAAGTCGTCTGACGGTGACGCACTGCCCGTGTCTATCATCTCAGATCTCGCGAGCAACCCGAAATATTCAGACAAGTCTCTGCGCATGCAGTGGCCGAACTGTCGTTTCTATGCGGGCGTTCCTATCAAGTCGCGCAGAGGTGTCAGCATCGGCGTCTTCTCTGTTTGGTCCGCCGACCCGCGGCAAGAGTTGGGCTTCAACTCTATCCAGCTTCTGGAGGGTTTGTCCAGAATGGTGACTGACCACCTAGATTCTAAACGTACCGTCCAGAGGCATCATAGGGCGGTGAGGATGCTTCGTGGCATGGGAAGCTTCGTCGAAGGAAAATCCACCATGTCCAAGCTAGCGTCGCAAAGTCACGCAAACGACCAATCTGTCGAAGGTGCTTTGAATCAAAATCAGCAACGGCTCCAGAGCAGCCAAGAGGAAGAGAATGCCAATGACGATGAGTCTACGCCTGACTCTGCCACGCCCTCAACTCCGAGCCCGAAGAAGTCCCCCTCCCTGCCTCCACAGAGAGGTCATCGGCGTCCATCATCTCCTTCGGACGATTCGGTTGACAATACACTGCCAACGACAGAGACAATAACAGAGACAGCAAGCCAGACCAGCGACGAGGAAGGCATCAACCATATCTTCTCCAAGGCGGCGAACATTATCCGGGAGAGTATCGAGGTCGAAGGTGCCTTGTTTCTAGATGCCAGCATTGGTTCCTTTGCCGGTTTGGCCACCAAGACGAAGACCTCGGGAAGCTTTAGCTCTTCCTCCAGCAGCGATGAGCACAGCAGCGGACTCCCTTCAAGAAAAACTCTCTATAACAACGAGGCGGATGTGCCTTGTCGTATACTTGGCCACTCGAATTCCTTGACGTCCAGTATTGACCGGCAGAATACTCCCAAAGACCAACGTCGTTTTTCGGAGCTTTTCCTGGCCAAGCTGCTGCGTCGGTATCCCTCTGGTCGCATCTTTGCCTTCGACGAGAATGGGTCTCTGCAGTCGACTGATTTCTCAGGTGAAGACTTGGCGACACCGCTGTCTCCAGTGGACGAGGAAACGCTCTCCGAGCTGCAAATGTCTGAACGGTCTCGCAAACGGAACAAGAAGCTGCAGTCGCGTCAGAATGAGGGGAAGATGCTCATGACCCTTTTCTCTGGCGCTAGGAGTGTTGCCCTCGTCCCTCTCTGGGACGCTCAAAAACAGCGATGGTATTCGGGTGGTTTTGTTTACACGAAAACTCCCACTCGCGTTCTTACCATCGAGAGCGAGCTCAGCTACCTACGAGCCTTCGGAACTGTTATCATGTCAGAAGTTGCCAAGTACAATGCTCGTATGGTAGATAAGGCGAAGTCTGATTTACTCAGCTCTCTATCCCACGAGCTTCGTTCGCCTTTGCATGGTATTCTGCTTGGCGCAGAGCTGATGCAAGATACAAACCTCGATGCGTTTCAGGGAGACGTCTTGCACTCTGTAGAAACATGCGGGAAGACCCTGCTGGACACCATGGATCATCTTCTTGACTACAGCAAGCTTGGAAACTTCCTCAGACCAGCGACTGGACGCCGAAAGAGCACTTCCGGCATGGCCGATCGGGGCTTGCGCAACGTCGACAAGAAACTCACCATCGAGGCCGGAATGATGTCCCTTAGTCGCAACGTTAACATTGACGTGCTTGCAGAGGAGGTCATCGAGAGTGTGTGCGCCGGTTTCAGTTTCCAGCGGTTTGCCGTATCGCGGTTGACAGAGAGCCGACCTTCGGAACATGGTGATATTGATGCTCTGCATAGGCTCGACAGCATGCAGGCGCTTGAAAACATGTCATCAGAAACCAACAATGGCGGCGATTCTCAGATCTTGCTGGGCGATGTGTCGGTAACGTACGATGTGAATCCAGCCGCCTCCTGGCGCTTTAACACCCAACCCGGTGCACTTCGAAGGGTAAGTTGTGTTTCCTGGTTCCCTCATCGTCCATGACTAAAAGTCTCAGATCATTCTCAACATCCTTGGCAACGCACTCAAATACACCACACGGGGTTTCGTCAACGTCAACGTGATCCAGCTGGACTCCTCACGACCTGGATCTCGAGAAATTCACATCGTCGTCACAGACTCTGGGAAGGGCATGTCCGAAGACTATCTACGGTATCACCTATATGCCCCATTCCATCAAGAAGACAACCTCTCAGCTGGTACGGGCCTCGGCTTGAGTCTAGTGAAGGACGTTGTCACTCGCTTAGGAGGGTCGATCCAAGTTTGGAGCAAACTCAATCGAGGCACCAAGGTTACTGTCAAACTACCACTACAGGAGGCGTCAACCCCATCGCCCAAAAGCAGCATCCCGAAAACTGTCAACTTTGATGATTTCCGAGCCCAGGTGAGTGAGCTGAAAGGCCTCAGGATACGCCTCCTCGGGTTCTCAGCAAACGTCGGCACAGCGGATGACGAAATTTCGACGAACACATCAAGTGAGGCAACTTTACTTGAAAACATATGCCGTGACTGGCTCGAGATGCAGGTTATAGACGCATCTTCCTTGGAAAGGCTCCTTCCCGACCTTATATTGGCAACAGAACGGCATCTTGACCGTCTTCTTTTCGAACAGAGACATGGTGGTGGATTCACTCCTGTTGTCGTGGTATGTCGAAATGCCTTGATTGCGAGACAACTGGCGACTTCTCCTCGATTCACGATCCGCCGAGTTGTGTTGGAGTTCGTATCTCAGCCGTAAGTTTTGACGATCCCAACTTGCCGGTTTCAGACTAACAATACCACAGCATTGGGCCGAGGAAGCTTGCACGAATCTTGTTGCTGAGCTTTAGGCGATGGACAAGAATGCAGGCCTCCGCTATCAAGACACCGACAGCATTGTCACTGGCCACAGATGAATACCGGGACAACCTTGACGATGCATCCGCTCTAGACTCTCTAGACGTAAGATCGACAGCAGCCATGAGCAAGGAACCCGCCCCCGATGACACAGAATACTTCAATATTCCAAGTCTGCGACCGGCAGAGTCAATAGATACGGCCAAAAACGTAGATGTCGAACACGACAGGATTGGGACGTTACCGGAGCGGCCAGTTCCCAACGGATCGTCGACACCGACACCTGACAACCGGGAGCCAGATGAGTCATCCAACCAAGGCGATAACGATCAAAACTTGTTTCTTCTGGTGGACGACAACGCAATTAATTTGAAGATATTGTCTGAATATATGAAGAAGCTGGGCCACAGGTATGCGACAGCAATGAATGGGAAACAAGCCGTCGAGGCCTTTAAGAAAAGCGAAGGCCGAATTAAGTGCGTGTTCATGGATATATCCATGCCCGTCATGGATGGCTTCGAAGCCACCCGAGAGATCCGCGTCTTCGAGACGAGGAAGAATCTACCTCGATGCCAAGTGTTTGCACTCACGGGTTTGGCGTCTGCGAGCGCCCAGGAGGAAGCGTTCGCGAGCGGCATTGATCTATTCCTGACAAAGCCCGTGAAGCTAAAGGAATTGAGCAAGATCATACGGACTAGTGATCTTGCGTAATGTATACGTACGAATGTCGGAAGAGCGTGGGTGGGTGGAAATTGGTTGTTACTGGCATAGATACCCATATGGCAGGCACGTTTGTGGGAGTTTTGAGCAAGGGGGACTGTTTAGGTAAAAGGGGAAAAGTCTAGTCGGGGAAGCCACACCGTACACGATGTTTCTCGGAGATCTCCTTGGACGTGAAAAATTCGGGGCATTTACATGTTCAATCTTTTTCCATCCAGTGTCGTTCTGTGTGACTCGCCCTCCAGGAATTCTTATACGGACACCGTTGATCTTCCGGATCCGGTGCCGGGCTTGGCTGCCCTTTGGTCCGTCCCACTCTGCTAGACATCGGAGTGTTTGTGACAAAGACCAGGCACGATTCCGACTTGAGATTGGAGTATATCAAAAGCACGAATGTATTATCCGCAAATTGCGGCTACGATGGTGTTTGTAAAAAGATATTTACCAGCCGGGCAGTGTTGGTATGTCGGCAAGCTGGGCAGTGTCTCCTCCAACTTCAATCCCAGCGCAAGCCACACTTTTATTGGGCGCGCTTAGCGCCTCGATTGTATTATGCTCGACGCTTTGAATATAGCGTACGCGATCCTAACCTTTGATGAGTACGTAGCGATAGCTTCAATCGTAACGTACGCGATAACAATTTCATGCTTGCAGTAATAATGCGATAGAGATAAACAGCGATGACCTTGCTTGGTACATACTAATGAATCGCTAGTGAGTGACGGCCCCAGGTGGGATATTCAGATTGATGGCAAAAGAAAGGCGGTCTATTATGAATGTACTTGCTGTGGTGAGCAAACCTGCGCCTAATGTTATCTAGAGAAATGCGTTACCTACGCAGTCGTTGAGAGACAAGCGCGCAACTCATAAGCTCCTATCATTCGGCATGAGCGACGATATTGACGGCCAGAATGTTCATACAACAGCAGATATATAAAATCAACACTGACATTTGTGCTCACCCCCTTTGCTGCCATGTCGCTTGGATTTAAAGCTGGTGAATAGAGGCATGTCTATTTTCCCCAAAGGGAGCCACCAATTCAACCAACGTTTCAGCCACGTCTTAGCATTAGATAGTTAGTGGACAGACATCTTTCTCCTGGCGCGACTTGCTCGTTCCGTACGCCAAACTTCCTTCTTTTCAGGTGGACAGGTAGATAACACAACTAGTAAGTACTTGGATATGAGGAATATGTCAGGAGTAATGTGGAAAACGATACTTCGACATTGGGTATAATGTCGTGCTTTCGAGCTCGGCGCGCAATTCACCCTCTGTCGGTTATTACATAGTGAGGGATTACTGGGTCCCTTCTCTATCATGTGATGGACCAATTGATATTCGATGCCATTTCCTTCCCACCTCGGTTCTCAACACTCGGTTTTGAAAGATTCGAGGCTGTGCTCTCTACTAGATTGACTTTCGCGGCGGCGGAGGGGATAAGACAGTTGGAGGGGTTTCGGTTTCCTCTTCATCGCTGTCGTCTTGCTCGTCTCCCTCTTCCTCAGCTTTTGGGTCTTTGGCTTCTTCGGCCTTTGGCAACTTCGTCAGTCCACGAGAACTAGGAATACGATAATCTGAAGTGTACCAACCCTTATGATTGCGAGCCACTCTTCCAGCGGCCGTTGCATAGTCCGGCGGAAGTCGTCGCTCAACCGTAATGCCGGAGGGAACTCCATCAGGGTCAACGTACGGCGCGTGCTGTGGCTATGACGGTCCCCTCCGTCTGTCGTCGTCCTGGATTTCAGCGTCGAGTTGGTGTTCTTGCTGAGCGGAGGCAGCGGCGGTGGGTTGACCTCGAAGATGCCCTGGGGCGACGTGAGGGCCGTGTCGGTTGGTGGTGGATTCTCGAGGTCGAGGTTGTGTGCCGCTCTGACCTGGCGGCTTGTCTCGTTTCGCCGGGCTTGTTGCCGTTGGCGCCATTGGTCTCTCCGGAAGCCGCTGGAGCCGGTGCGGCGCAATTGGGTCACCACGAGTTTGTAGAGGGGCCGTAAGGTGGCGACGGAGGCGGCGATGATGCCCACTCCTGGCTCGACGGTGCTCCAGATCGCGAAGTTGGTAGTCTCATCTACGCGCAGAACCTTGATTAGTACGACGCGCTACTGTGGCGGTGTCATGGAGGAACTGCCGTACACAAGAAGTTTTCACCATCGAGTAGGGTTGGTATGTAGAATGCCCGTACGATCGTAGCCGTGCTCCCGCTATGCAACCACTGACATCAGCCTTGAACCTTGCGTAGAGTACTACACTAGGGAGAGGTTCTGCCTTACATCGCGGCAAGACCAAGTATACCGACGACCACAATCTTGGTCTCTAGGGGCAGGTCCATGGATCGGACGATGAACCACGGGAGCGTGCCGAAGATGAAGTCCGCGCTCGTGTTGATCACCGTCGCTGCGATGGTCATGATGAGGATGACCTGCCGCGGCCAGCACTTTTCGGGTGTGCGCGGCCCTTCCTCCCAGTACGTGGGGACGGGTCGACACTGGAATGCGACCATGAGGAGGTACGTCGTCCCGAAGACCACTGTTCCAGCCATCAGGAGCCATATCGTCAAGATGTGAGTGCGTTCTATTGCGACGCGGAGGAGGAAGTAGCCGACGGAGATTTTGACCAGGCAGGTTGAGCAGACGTTGAGCAGTTCCAGTATCCACCATAGCTAGGAGGCATAAGTGTCAGTACGTTTCTGATTGAAGAATGTTGGAACTGACTTTGAGTGATTCGAGCTTCTTCTGGGGGGTCAGGTCGACATCGAGAAGACCTATCCCACGCGTGCCGCCATAAACCTGTAAACCTAGATAGATCGTGAACAGCACCTATTACAAGTGGATCTCTTAGCTTGAATACATCTGTCAGCCATGCAGTCAACACATACCAAGAGTATTCCCATCACCTTATCATCATTACCAATGCACCGAACCAGGAACGTCCGGCAGTAGATCCGCAGGCCGACCGTAAGCCACGTCAAAACCAAGAACAGAATGGCCACGGCGATGACTTGCGCGCTCCTGTCCGCCATGAGGTCTAGGGCGTTGACAAGTCCAAAATCGCCATCGAACGAGTGCGGCCGGGTGACGAACGTGGCATCGCGGTTAACGTCATGGAGATGAGGAGACTACGGACGAGAGGGACATTGTAGAACGAATAGCTCCCAGATGCTCACTGTCTATGGAGGCTGGGAACGAAACTCACGCCCTACTGGCGGTAAAGCAGGAAACTCATCCCAAGACGTGCGAGAAGAGCAGTACTCAACGGGCACGGCCCATGCTTCGTACGCGCGAAGATCAAAGAGTTGCAGGGTATTGACGGTAAGCAAGGTTCCCTTGAAACAACTGCTCGTAAGACTAAGGAATCTGTGTTAACGGGATTGGAAGAATACTCAAACCTCCTTTTCCGATTGATTTAGGTGATTGGCCCTTGTGTCCCGGACGAAACTCTATCTCACGTGGGAATTTGAGATGGAGCATTGGCCGCACGAAGACGTACATGTTTTCTACCGGATGAAGCGGATTGGAGCATTGATATCCAGTCCTCCATGATTGCAAGATTCTGAAAGAATAAGATGTGACTTTGGATACCGTGCTTCATTATGGTAGCGAGAGGCTCCGGCGACAGTAAGGAATCCCGTACAATGAATGCGTGCTTGAGTACCTATGTAGCTCTCTTGCACTACAAGAGCAAATATCAGTTGAAACAGGAGTTCTTCGATGAATGGGAATTAATCAGACGGAACGTGCACCTCAAAACTCAGAGTGGGCTCAGAGGGACAGGATCTCTCTGTGGTTGTGTTGGTGTCGTCGGACATAAAGAACAAACCGTCCGACATTACGCAGATGAATCTCGGATAGTCGGGTGTTGTTGTGTAGCTCCCCATCTTAAATTTGATCTTTTTTTCGGTGTGTGTTCATGCCGAAATTGGTTTGGCTTTGATGGATAGATAAGTCTTCTAAGCTTGAATACGAGGGTACATCGTCCTTCTTCTTTTCTCACAAAATCCACATTATTGTCAAGCGTAATCGATCAGTGAAAGATGTGACTTCCTTGTGTATTGAACAGTCTAGGTTGAACATTCGCTTGATGAACTCGACTAACTCATGTATTCCGTATGACCCCACCCGATATCACCAGAGCCTTCGCTCCTTTACATTACACCGAAGCTTCCGGCTTGATCAAGCCAATACTGCTCAACAGCGGCCTATCACTCACAGCAACCAGGTACGCCGTTGTGGAAAGTTCATTGATATGTTGGATCTTGGACCACGCAGGCACGGCAAACGTATCCCTCGAAGACCACTTGAAGATGACCCGGGGACCTGATGGCGGCTCCGCAATGGTCTGCCCCTGGCCCTCGTAGCAGTGGTACAGGAACGAGGCCTGCTCGCGCACCTCTTTCGTCGTGTGGTGGCCATCGATGCGCTCAGCTTGGGCGCCGAGAATGGGGGACAGTGGCTTTCCGTTGCTGGTGTAGTGGTAGACGGCGTGAGGGCCCTCTTGGGCCTCGAGCTCGACCTCGACCTTGTCCCATGGATGCCTCCATTCGCAGTCTTCAGTCAAACTATTGGATGTTAGTACAGATCCATAAAGCTTATGGGATCGTCCTTACACGCTGGGGTAACGACTCTCGTGATACTGTTCCGCAAAGTGAACAGGAGTGAATCTGAAAAGGGGCAGGTTGAGGGCGTCCAGCCAGATGATGGGGGCATCGCTCTCGTTGCCGTGGTCGTGCCAATGCCAGACGGGCGTGACGACTACATCGCCTCTCCTAAGAGGCATCTTCTTTCCCTCGACGGCAGTGAAGCCCTCTCCATCAATGATGAATCTGAGGGCGAAAGCAATGTGTCGGTGAGCTGGTGCCGTTTCTCCAGGATTCACGATTTGAAGACCACCGTAGATGGTGTCAGTGGTGTAAGGCGATTCTACAACGTGTAAGTCTCGATAGTGAGATTGTGGGTGTTGTCAAAACATACGCATGGTAGGGTTGACCAGCATCAGAACTCTCCTCTCAGCCTGCTTCTCGCCCACCATCTCGGCGGCCTTGTGCAGGAGAGGGAGGTTGTCGGCGTATTTCCAGATGTGTGGCCGTGCGACCGGCTGTGGCGTTGGTGGCACCATCACGTTCATCTGGGACCATAGTGGCTCGAGGTGTTGGGCTGGGAGCTGCTGCAGGTAGTCGGTCATGGCCTTGGCCGACTGGTCATCCTCGTGAGGGGAGTCCATGATGGCGTTCGGGGGTATGCAAGTGCTTAACTATGCTTGTGACGAAGTCAAAATGATTTGGAGATTGCAGATGGTGAGAATGTAGCTTGAAGGGCTTGATCTAAAAGGCGCAGTTCAAGAGATGAAGTTGAGTGCTTGAGGGACCATCGACGGAGGTTATCAAGGAGCGTTTCCCCATTATCCCCGGATTGCTGACCCCCTTGCCCGCAGTAAAGGTGCGGAACGGCGCCACCCGGGACGGGTCCGGCGCATGCAGCTGGCCTCATTCCGAGTTCCGACGCGTCGCACAATTCCCCGACCACCACCACCGGAACCAACTATGATTGGCTCATCTTACAGATGCCCCAATGAGGGACCATTGAGGGGAACATTAGCATCATCTCAGAAACGCGCTTTAAAGAGAGATTTGTCCAAGAACTGCGGCGAAACGGCATCGTTGTTGCTAAAATAGAAACAAACACCTGCCCATCATGTCTTGGAACCGTCTTGTCCGCTTCGTTGATGACAACGATGTCGAGCATTTTGGCGAGCCTGACATCCAGAATGAGACGGAACTGACGGAGCGACTGGACAAGAATGACTTGTGGGCCGTGGTCTTCGATGGCGCAAGTCCCGTCTCAACCCTGACCAAGGGCGAACGCGTGCACGTCAAGGCCCTGCGACCCCTCCTGGCACCGAAGGATGTTCCGGTTGTTCGGTGTATTGGTCTGAACTACGTCAAGCACAGTAGGTTACATCCCCTGTCGGCACAATGATCGCGGTGACAGGCTAACAGTCGACAGTCAAGGAGGGCGGCCGAACACCGCCACCATACCCGTCCGTTTTCATCAAGCCGGCGACCTCTGTCGCCGCCTGGAATGAGGATGTCCCGATTCCAAAGGTCGCTCAGGACGGCACGGTGGACTACGAAGGCGAGTTGGTAAGAAACTTTCCCTCACTTATCGAAACTTAAGCTGATGATGATACAAGGCCTTTGTGATCGGAAAGGACGCCAAGAACGTCCCCAAAGAAAAGGCTCTTGAGTACGTTGCCGGCTACCTCACCTCAAATGACGTTTCAGCAAGGGCGTGGCAAAGAGACCCCGCCAAGGCCGGCGGTGTACCCCAGTGGTGCTTCAGCAAGGGTTTCGACAAGTTCGCCCCGCTGAGCCCGATGCTCGTCTCTCCGTCGGTTGTTGGTAACGCAAGCGACCTTCTGCTGCAGACATTTGTCAACGGCGAAGAAAGACAACATGAGAGCACAGGCGATCTGCTCTTCGGCGTCGAGGAGATTGTCAGCTTCTGCAGCCAGGGTACAACATTAACGGCTGGAACCGTGATCCTCACGGGAACGCCGTCGGGAGTTGCTATGGGTATGAAGCCGCCCAAGTACCTGAACGATGGCGATGTCGTTGAGGTCAGGATAAGCAAGTTGGGTGGTGTGAAGAACAAGATGGTGTTCGAATAAAACCTCGCCAGTCACCGCTGCAGAAGGGCTCAGTTTGGGTGGGTTAAATCATTGAACGGGTATCTTTGCGATGAATGAATGTTGTTATATACATAGAGATGCCTGATAGCATCTTTTACAGACTTCCGGGCATACTGTTTAGCCAAGAGAAGTCATTGACATCAAATGATATTGCATCCATGTCAAATGCTGCGTCTTGTGCCATGTACGTGAATGGCATGTCAAAGGTCTCTTGTTCGCTGGGAACAGCTGGCATGGCTGGATTGGTTTCAGAGTTGGTGAGTGTTGTTGCTTGCGGTTGCTCCTGAAACATCTTGGTCGATAAAATCTGGAGTGCCGCAGCACATCTCTTGGGTGAAGGTCCGAGGCTTTCGTGATCGTGTAGAAGAGCCATGGCCTGGTTCCAGGATTTGGAAATGTCGAGGGAAGAGAAGACTGTTGGACGTAGTCTGGCTGCAATGAGAACCGTGGCGGCTGTGTAGATGTAGAAGACCCGATACCACCAAGCGGGAAGAAGACCGAGCGTGCCGTCGTGTCGTTGGAATTGGACAATGACTGAGATGAGGCTTTGCGCTGCCTCGACGCAGACCATAGCGCACTGCTGCATGACGCGAGACGAGAGGTCGTCGTGAGCTTGTGTTGAGTCGGGGCATTGAGACAAACAGAAGCGTGTGAGCATTGGTCTCAGGAGTAACATTCGAGCATGAAGAAGTCTGGTTATGTGTCAGGAATGAGCCCTCACTCCCCAGCCTGAAGACTTACCGTATCCGAAGAATGACAGCCTGTCTACGAAAGACCTCATCTAACTGAGTCTCTGGCTCAGCCATGGCCAGAAACGACGGTGTGTTCTTTTCCCACTTCGTGAGGCGCTGATCCAGCTGCAAGGCAACACCCAGATCAAGTTCATGTCGTTCTTGAGAGTGCTGGCCTAGAGAGTGCTGGCCTAGATGACTGGGTGATGTGGGCGACTTCAATCTAGGTGAAGTGGTGTAGAATGCAAGAACCGCTTGGTTGATGACCTCGTACAATTCTAGCGACTTCACGAAGAAGCCTTGATACCTGAGGCGATGCAGCTTAACGGTGTTTCCGCCTTGGGCGTCTCCGTCTGGTATCGGAGGGAGAACTACAGTCGATGCTAGATGATCTGAGATCATTGCTGGTCGACCATGCGTGATGGCAATCATCCTGGACGGTGGTATAAGCTGGATGAATTCACAACAGGTGAGGTTGCGGACTCACCGATCCATGAGAATGCAGCCATGCCATATTCGTCGGACCAAGTCTCTCTCGGGCTCACTTGAAAGTTCCAACGCAGTATCCGGAAGGTGCAGGCCCAAGCCCTGTGCGATCCTCACGCAGGATCCCACAATCATCCAAGTCTGATGAGGATTGTTTGTGCTTTGCAAATATTGGCTCATGATGAGCAAACACTGAATGAGTTCAACAGACCCTGTATCCCAAAGACTAAGTTGCAGTAAGTCTTGAGCACGTGTGAAGTACCCTTGACTTGATGAGTCCCTTTGCTCAGGCGGCATAGACTCGATCAGTTGGGTAGAGAGAGCAAATATGATGTTTAGTATGCTCACGAATACTCGTTCATCCGCGTCAAGTGATGTACCAGCGAAGAGGGCGCGATACGAATGGTCAAACCGTTGGCGGTCCAGAAAGGGGTACAGAGGATCAACGTAGTACCAGTATAGGTCCGTCAAGTGGTCTGCCTGCTTACGCGCCGGAAGCACGTAGTCAGCTTGTCCCCCTGGGCCTCCTCCATTCAAAGGGAGTGATGATTTGAAGATAGAGCCCCTTGGTCCTCTAGTCTCCGTTGCCGATCCCAATCTGGCATCTATCGCTGCCTTGATCTGGTTGGTGAAGGAGCCTGCACTGCTGCTACCGAAGTACTCGCCAGTCACTGTGCCATCCTCCCGCACAGTTGTCATCGAATCCACGACCGAGGGACTTGCATCGGACGGGGTGATGGGATGGCGATCCATCCGGCCTCGCCTTGTCAGGTCTGGACCGGACGATGTCGTCGACTTTGGCGTGGCATTGGGCCGGGGACCGGGAGGCAGAGGAGGTTGCGCAAAGGTTGCTTCTGGGGTATGAAGAATGCTGGGCAACGTCATCTGAGGGTTGCCCGGGCTGACATCTGAAGTCCTTTCCCTAGCAGGAAGCGGCTTTTCCGGGGTTTCTGAGCTGTAGGTACAGCCATTTCTCAGGTCCGTCCTCTTCCAGCAATTTCCGCATGCTGTATCGCAGCGTTAGCATACGCATAATCAGCTGACTTCAGCTTCGGAAGAGACGAAACGTTCTAGAAGCCGCCGCAGTAGACTTCTGCTTCCGTGCCGAACCCCACCAGCTAAGCATCGGAGCACATCAGACTGGCTGGACGAGACCACTCACCGAGAACTCACCTGGGCGCGCCCCATCGCACTTCACTTTCCTCCTCCGACATGCCTCGCATGCCACATCGATTTTGATCCGCTTCGGCTTGGGCTCCATTGTTTTCTCCATCCCGCCGCTGGCCATGCTTGGAACGATAGCGGGCGCACGCACGTGGGGATCGGTATCTCAACGCGCAGAGCCCCTCCCGAGAGACGAGGAGTCCTCTCGGAATGACGTGGTGAGCGGCTCGGAAGCAGGTAGACGCTGGAGGCCAAGTCTAATCATGGACCTCGGACACCACTCTTCAAAGCAAGATAGGAGATTGCGGGGAGAATAAGCAAAGTTCGGGGTCGGACAGGAATGTTTGGATGGAGAAGAAGGACAATTTCTGGGAGCGCCGCCGAGTTCCGACGCGACTTGAAGAAACTTGGGAGACTCTTGAACGACGTAGTGGGTCACAAGACGCTTTTGGCGGAGCACGGAAAACGGAACGCTGTCTGATTCGTTTAGTCTAGTCTTCCGGATGTTGTCCGAGTCATGTCCGGGGTTATCCACTGACTACGGAAACCACACTAGCTTATCTTCTCAGGCCCTCCCATTGAACAGCTCCGTCCACCGCGTGTTGCCAAGCGGGCCGTGACTTCACAAATATTTCAGCCTCCGGCGTCAAGTTGGATCTTGTTCCGAGACTGGTCAGCGCCGTGCTTCAATTCGCCTATCCGAACCTGTGTATTACGGATACATACCCACCATCCAGGAGACTCGTCCGGATCAGGAGAAACTGCCCCTGGGCTGATGCGGGGGTCGTCCAGAGTGGGGTCCCGCAGACGCGGCAGAACGCCTTTTCTTTGGGTGAGCCGCTCGAGGTGTTACTGAGTGTGAAGTGGGAGACGAGGTCTGAACCGGACGTAATAGCTACCGATCCATGGGGAAATTTGGCAATCTGCATTGCTTCAGCCTTCTGTTGGGACTTCGGGGCTGTAGTCGTTACTGCACTTACCACTTGATGTGTGCCTCCCGCGCCTTTGCAGCAGTGGTCACAGAAACATGTGAATACGATGATGGGGGTTGATGAAACCGACATAAAAATGCCACCGCAAAGACACGAGCCAGTAAAGTATGACATATTCGGTATGCTACCCAACAAACACAGAAGTTCAAAGTTTCCAACGTGTGGAATAAGCCTTGATTTAAATATCTTTTTCTGGTACTTTCCTATCTGCTTAAAACTGAACGTGATGCGGCTTGGAGCTCCAGACCTGATGGTGGCACTTTCTGCGGTTTCTTGTGTTGCAATCAGAAGGCATTCAAGTGTCACAAGTATTCATCAGGACTTGAAATTTAGTATGCGAACAGGAACTTTGTCAATTAGGACTGGAGGAGCATTGAAAAGCTTTTTAGAAGCTCGGGTATGCTCTGAACGTGCAGCCACCGCAACTCTAGACCTTTCTATCCGCAACGTTTTCAACCTCCACAAAATCGTCCTTCAACTTCTCCTCTCCAGCACCACTGATACCAAGTGAATGGTTCATGCCGTCGAAAACCTCGGCAATCTGCTCTAAAGTCCTACCCTTGGTCTCAGGAAAGAGGAACCAGATCAAGACCAGCAGAATTGCCAAGATGCAACAGAAGACAATGTAATACATCCAGCCCAGATTTGCCATACCGATAGGGTTGAGGAACTGTCCGATAATGAGACCAACAAAGGTAGATCCCAGGGAAATCGTCAAGCCCCTTCCGCGAAGCGTGTACGGCATGATCTCGACGGGGTAGGCCATGAGCAACGGCGACCAGGCGATGTCGTAGAAGAAGTAGTAGATGAAAATAAATGCCACCACCGTGTAGCCAGCTTTCTCGTCCTTTGTCCTCGCGAACACGCTGGTGAGGATGGTCCAGATGACATAGCAGACCAGCATGCCGGCGGTTGAAATCAGGAAGAGCTTCCGACGGCCAATGCGGTCCACCATCATCGCACCCGCAAACACGGCAGCGATCCAGTTGAAGACCTGAAGGAGGCCGTTGATGAGCGCTTGGTCCTTGGTAGCGGTAATTCCGACAGTGTTGAGCACGAGGGTAAGGTAGTACGAGATGACGCCACTGCCAGACTGTTACGAGTTAGCTACCGATCCCCAGAAATGGATTCGGAAGAGATTAAAGACATACCCATTGAGCACCAATACCAACGATAACTGCAATCAGAGTTCGCCGACGGTTGGGCCCAGTCTTAAGAAGGTCGAGGTAGGACGACTCCTTGGATGCCTCCATCTCGATACGGAGGTTCTCCTCAATCTCCTTGATTTCGTATTCGACAAGAAGCGCGGATGAATCGCCGCCGGCGTGATAGCGGGTGATGACTTCGCGGGCAACATCGGTCTTGCCATTGGCAACCAGCCATCTTGGTGACTCGGGAACGAAGTAGAAGAATACACATTGGATTGCGGGAAGGGCACCCTGCAAGATTGATGGGATTCTCCAACTCCATGTTGAGGGCAAGCGGAAGGTTCCATCTGCACAATGTTAACCAAAGAACAATGCTGTTCAGAGGGTGAAGAGCCTACAGGTGGACCATGCGGCGAGAATCGCCCCAAAGAAGAAGAATGTATTGTAAAGCGCACTGATCTTGCCTCGCTGAGTCGGGTAGGCAAGCTCGGTGACGAGAATAGGCGCGGGCTGCGCGATGAACGCAGTCGCGGCACCAAGGAGCCAACGGGAGACGATGAACATGGGCAAGCTGACACTGGCGCCCTGCAGGGCGGCGCCCAGAAGGAGGAGGAAAAACCCAATCCACATGGGTGTCTTTCTACCATATTTGTCCGCCAGCCATGTAACAGGAACCAGACCCATGATCTTGCCGATGGGGTACACAGCGTTCATCGTGCCGAGGATCGGTGCGCTTGGATGACCAAAATAGCCGCGCCATTGCTCAATCGTCTGCAGCCCGTTCATCATGGCACCGTCGAAGCCCACCGAGGCAGAAGAAAACATCGGAACCAAAAGAGTCAGGTTGAGCAGAAGCAAGTGCTTGGTACGGTACCATGGTGCAGGGTTTTCGGGCAGGACCTTGAGCTGATGTTAGAGTTCGTCATGGCAGAGAGCTGAGGCATGTCATCTGGTGGAGTTTCGGGTGATGGGGGCAACAGCGAGTAAGAACGTACTGCTGTCAGGTCAGAGCCGACGGCCTGTTCGGCCGTCTTCTTTGTAGTCTTTGACTTGAGGAAGCCCATCTTGAATGTGGTCGGGCTACACTGGGATTGTAATGGAACTCCGTTGCAATCGACTTTTGGATCAGTGAAGTCGCCGAGCCAAGGACCACTCCGAGACTCATCAGAGGTTGGAGAAGGAAGACGGGAGATATATGCAGAATCAGTCAAGTCGTGATTATGACTGGGGAACGGAACAGTGTCCACTACATCCACCGCCCTTGTCTACCCCAGCCGTCCCCCAAACCATCTGCAATTTTCCCCACGGGAGGTGGATTCTTCCCCAACTTGGCGCGTTGGCTAGCTTGGTTTAGTGGCTTGCCCGCGATCCCGGGAATTCGGGTTCTTTGACGGAACTCGGGAGTCGGATGACAGGTGGGCTGGGATGAACTCCAAGGAGGCTACCTAGGACTTAACTCATTTGTTAACGCCGCAAGCATTTTGCGGATCCTCGGTGAGAGATGGTGAAGCATCAGAGTCAGGTGACCTTCACCGTCGGGCAGCCGCCCCGAGCAGACACGTTTTCCGGAATGTTCCCTGGGGACGGTCCCCGAGCAGACTTTCGCGTGCGGTCAGACTCTATGACATCGACACTAGCGAGTCACGGCAGAGATTCTCGAACCCAAAAGCTCCCCGAGGCCTCTGCGCAGCCAGTTCTGAAACGGTTCTGCGGGGGAGTCGGGGGATCAGTGCTGCATGATAATTAAACTCGAGATCCCCATCCCCCTCAACTTCCGTCGCTCCTCTCCCCGACACGAGATGCTTCCGAAAGACGAGGTTCCAATCGGCCATCTATCGTCGCAATGGACCCACCGCCGAAGAGGATGAGAATGGATGCCGGTCGGGGTCTCCCCGACATGGGATATATGTCCGGCGGCGGCTCTCCTCCCGTCCCTCGTCCTGGCGTCGATCAGGCGCACGCCGAGCAAGCTGATCCCAGGATCCCGAAGCAGAGAACGTGGTCGCGCGCGTCATCCGCCTGCCAGACTTGTCGCGGACGCAAGACAAAGTGCGATAACGAGCGCCCTATATGCGGCTACTGTAGGAGGGTCGGCGCAACATGCACTTATATTGAGGACTCGGCCCCGGCCATGTCGTTGTAAGTTGACCCTACACTAGCATGGCCTACAAACTCTGTCCAGTGCCATCGTGCCATATTTGGCATCGCGCAAACGACATATATCAGTGTGGTACTAATGGGTTGCGGCTGGTCACCAGATGCCAAGGCGTTGGGCCACGGCTACTTGGGGCAATAGAGAACTTAACCAACCTGATCCAACGGAACGAGGAGAACTTTCGTGCCATTCCTCAGCTGAGTCGAGACTTGTCTCGTGACTCTAGCGACTACCCAGACAGCCCAACAGCACCCGCCGGACGGCAGGACGGTCTCAACCTATTCACGGGCCAAGACGGCAACGGCCATGATGGAACTAAGAAAGCGGGTCACCCTTCGCTTTCGGAAACCGCTGGCCTCGACTCGGTGTTGGATTGGCCAATATTTCCCAAACCGGTGCCTTTCGCGATAGACCCCTTCAGCCATGCCTCCCCACGTGGGGAGGTGTTCTCCCCGAGATCCCCGCCAGCGATGGAGTTCTACGAGCTTTCTAGACTCGTGGACCTGTTTCTGGCTAACGTTCATCCCATGAATCCCGTCATCGACGTGTCTATGCTTCGCCAGATGTTGAAGCAAGTTGCCGAGAACGGGCCTGACTGGTCAGCTGCTACGTGCTTAGTCGCGCTTACATGCGCCTTGGGAGCTATATCCCAACGGCCGGGACAGAGGACACCGAGCGGGACCCCACGTGGCTACTCGGTTGAGCCCAACCGTCATCTCGCCTCGCGGTACTGGTCTGTTGCGGAGAAACGTCTTGGCTTTTCCATGGGCCAGCCCGGATGGGAGTCAGTACAGTGCTTGTGTCTCGCAGGGTAAGCGGTCGCTTCCGTTTGGTTGACAAATAGAGTAAACAGGGCTGACCAACTCAGCATATGGCACATGTACAACATGGATCCCTTACAGGCATGGAAATGCTTCAGTATGGCGAGCAACACTTGGTACACTACCTCGCTCACCAGCAAGTAAGACTACGATCCCTTTAGTATGGGGTCGCACAAGGCTAACTTGCGTGCTCAGATTGACCTTGCCCGGAAAGGCAGAGACCCCGGAGTACCCTCAGTCTCTCTCACTAGAACAGATACTGTACTTCACATGTTACAAGTCGGAATCGTGAGTTCTTGGTCCCCATATCTCGTATCTCTATCATGTTCCCAGCCAGCTAAACCGCTTACAGAGAACTTGCGTTTGAGCTGTCTCTGCCGGGATCGATTCTCGCCGGCATAGATTATCCCTACAACTTTCCCGCTCCACCAACACTGGGGGTGATGAATCTAGACAACAAGGCGCTGATGATGGAGCAAAGATCCTGGTACTACTATCTCGCGGAGATTGCCGCGAGACAGCTGATGAATCGCATTGTGCAAGCCCAGCGACGTTCCCCTCCACACCCCACAGAGCATGGTATAGATCGGATGCTTGAAGTATTTGAGGTATTCGATGCCCAGTTGACGGATTGGTACGAGTCTTTGCCTCCTCCGATCTCGTTCCAAATACCCAACGGTGAGATTGCGCCACTGGCGGATGATCTATGTCAAATGCTCCGCGGGCGCTATCTCACAATGAGAGAGCTTCTTTGCCGGCCGTTTGTAAGGCTAGCTTCGACTATTTCGATTGGCATCACAGTGTCGGAGCACATGGTCACCAGGGTAGCAGAAATCGCTTCAAGGGGTCTCCAATATTGTTTATTCAGGATCCAAGCCACGTCTTCCACTCCTCATCATGGCCTGTGGCTACAGCTCAGGGGGTTTGTCACTTGTTCTCTGATTTTGACCGCGGCAGAGCGGGCGCAATCCATCCCTTCTTTAAACATGCCTACAAGGGTTGTGTATACTCAAAACTGGAAGAGAACTATCCTAGCACAGAAGGAGATCCTATCAAATTGCTGGGAATACGAGGAGGGAGGAATAAGTGACTGTGCAAGGGTCTTGGATTGGGCACTTGCCAAGTTTTCAATGTAGCATATCGTACCAACAGCTATATTCTACAAAATGCGTTAGCTGTATTTATGGGAATGTGCATGGCAGGACCATGTCGCGATGTTGCAGCTACTGCAGGGCATCAGGTTATTCTCACATGACAGGCGTTCCACGTTGCCTTGTATTCAATATTAGGTTAACGAACTATAACGAACTAGACTCACACAGGCCCATGAATGCCATTTTACTAATCGCCACTGCTGGATCTGAGCGACGCTAGTCGAAAGGTTTTCGGGGACGCGAAGTTGTCGATCTTTAACGTTGAACCGGAATCCTTTGCCGTCGGGGAGTCGGCCTGACCGAGTCCCAACGGCCACTCACGAGGTCCCTTTGCCGACATTAGCGCGACCGTTGAACTTTTAGCTGGCAGATTTTCTACGATCAGACCGGGCTTGGCCGTCCGGGTTTAGCAGACACGAGCAGCGCGATTACCGCGAGCGGACCCGAGACCCGAGATGCAAGACCTTATGTGCGTGGCATGTTCGCAAGGTTTTCCCACGTCTGCAGCCATGCAGTCGGGGCAAATTTCCGACGTTCTTTCTTGTTTCCGGCTGGGTGTCTGCCAAGCGATCGGCCCGTCTCCCCGAGTGATCCGTCGGCTTAGCTCCCCGTCTGCAAGCTCCGGGGAAGAATTAGGTGCGCCGTTAACTCAGGATCCAAAGCTTTTGATCGCCTACACGGAGACCTACAAGAACCATCGATGTTTTCCTCAATAAAAAGTAAGGTTAAGACGGGAGTTCTGAAACTCAGACGGGTCCCCCCACGGACCAACTGACATGTGTCATTGGCTTCTCCCCTCGCCGTTGAATTGCGGCGCACGGGTGGCACAAAGGTTGGGATTAAGAGATGGTCGAACTATTCTGGAATCTGTGTTATTGGGTCTCTGCTCGGTTTTGTAAACGAGAGATCAATCTGGCCTGTCACCTGTGTGGAGAACTTCTTCAAGAGGCGTCCAGACAACACAAGTCGCCCTGTACAGTCGTCACTATGAACATCCCAATGGCTTTCTGTACTCAAAACCTGAAGACAGTGAAAAGTCGAATATCGGTACGTCATTTTTGAACTGAGGACAGTCGAGAGTAGAGCGTGTTGCCTTTCTTCATTGCGCAAACACCGATCGATAGCAGGTGTTCGCCGACTTCTACTCCGTCAGGTTTGTACATGTAGCGCAGGCATTGTCCATCCGTATTGACGTTTTACAACTTCTTCTGCCACTGTCTTCCATGCCTTCGTGACCCAAACAGACAGACTTGCGTGGGTAGTTTAATAAATTCTTCTCGATCCGCTTCGTAACTGCCAAAATCAAATGCTCTGGTTCTCTAGACAGACCAGCTGCAGCTTGGAAGGCTGACAATCACGGTATAGCTAGACTCGTGAAGTCTAAACGGATACATGTATGGGGATCCGATGTGGCACTGAGAACATTCTCCCATGGCAATAGCTTTCCTCCCACATTCATCGTGGCCCTGCTCCCTGGTCCATGGGCTGTGTGCAACTCGGCCTCCACGCGTACACATAACCTCTCCATGCTGCAGCTGTTTTAAACAGTCGGCTCAACTCCATCCTATATTGACGTGCTGCCATTCAGCATCAGGGAGCCTACTGCTGGGGCATACCCATGGATCTTCTTTGTACAAATGGCTGAGCTCTTCTCGACACCAAATCCACATGTGAAGACCAGTAGTCCAGTCCTAGGCTGCATTTAGCACGTAGCTTCCCGCCTCCACGCTGTCACAGACAGCCCATTCAGGTATGACTCTCAATGATTTCCCTCGCCAGTCCATACCGTGTGACTTCTGCTTCCAGCAACCTTCATGCCTGTGACTTTGCACATCAACGAGCCTCTGGGTGACTGATGGCCTCTGGCGGCCGTAAGTGTTGCAAACCAAGTAGTCTCCGGCATCCAGCATCTTCCTTCTTCCTTAGACGAGCGCCAGTGCATCAGTATGTCTGTGTCCACTCCCACGGAGGCTGCCAGTCCCGCCAACGCATCAGCAAAGCTCATAGTATAGTCCACTTTGGACGCATTGAGTGGAGCTATGAGTCCCATTACTCCGTACAATGAGTCGTTCTCCAAGGTGGCCTCTCGGTAGGCTGTGGCCCTGAAGGCAGCCCCGACTGTTATTTCTTTGCTCCACATCTCTGTGCCCATCCATTTCGCATGTTCTGTAGTATCGCACGCAGAATATCCTGTGTTGTACATGAACATGCCTTCGGCTGTGATGCTCACTGGCAAGGAGACTGTGCCTGTTGCCACATGCACTGGGTCCATAATGGCATACCTGGTTACTGGTGAGTTATCCTCAAAGGATATTAGGGTGGCCACTCTACTAGTGGACAGTACTTGTCCTGTTCCCGTCAAGAACTCTAGGCAGCTGGATGCTATCGCCTCTTGCCAGGTCTATACCCTGCCCATCCACTCAGAGGACATCAGCTGTGCTTCCAGCTCCATCATATGTTCCCTGAAGTACTTCTTGTCCCAGGGCCCGTCTGTTTCCAGTAAATCCCTAGGCACTTGCCTCTCAATTTCGGGAACCATCGCAAGTATCTTTCGGGCTACTCTGTACTTTTCTCTCATCGATGGAATCTGTTGGTCTTTGTGCTCCCCGCAGGACTGATCAACACACCTCTGATCCATCTAGATGTGTTGACATTCGCTTACGACTGCTCCCCTGACTGCAGTCATTAATTCAGGCTTCCACTGGCTCCACACATAGCCGAGAGCCACATAGGGCTGCCCGTAAGCCACAACGACTTCATCATCATCCAAATCCAGTAGTTTATCGCTGCGCATACAACTGTCCGTGCATTAGTGTGTTTGTTGAGTGGAGAAATCTGGTGCCGTGGCTTTGGCAGTTCTTTCCTCATCTCTAGATGCAGCAGCCTTTTCCCTGCGTCGGTGCCTATTAACCTCGTTCACGAAGCTGCGTGACCTATCTCGATGCGTTATAGCACGCGCGGCAAGCGAGGCGACCTGCTCCCCAGGATAGGCTGTTACACCGCCTGGAAAGTTATTCGGTGCTTCGTTTCGATCCCATGCACCGATGCGCGCTCCGGCGTGACATACATTCTGTTCTTGCCCTCGCTTTTTGATTAGGCGCCCTGCCTCTTCCCGGAATGCTATGACATTGTGTATCGCTGCCTCATTCTGAGGCTCCCACACGCCATCTTGGCAACTCCACCAACCACACTCAGTCTCCACATCCCCCAGCCGAGTCTCTCTCCCTCCCTTTGCGAACCTACATTCCACCTCCTCCCAGGGAGAACTACGCGTTCGTTGCATCATATAACGCCCCCAATGTGCTGAAGTCGGGTCGACGGTCGTGGCAATCACCACGTTCTTGCCGTTCTCCTCCCTCATCCCAGTTTCTCCTTCCATGTCCCGATTGCCTAGACCGGTACTAGAAAACCGGCAAGCTATTTGTGTACAACGTTACCTGGTGAGATTTATGGCCTCTAGGTATGTACAGCTGTCGCGTCTCCGGCCGCTGACAGGCCTTTTGATGATACTTCGGGTGAGATGCTGCGATTCGATGGTGGACTTTGCGCGGCTAACAATGCAAAGAGTAGAACGGGGACCAGAGACCTCGCAGTAAGCAAAGGACAAAAAGGACGAAACGAAACGAGATTAGGAAACAGGCTGAGGTGGGCGAATAAAAGAAGTAGATTATGCCATCGGCAGGCCCAAAGAGGGGTGGTAGCAAGTAGGAGCAATGTGCACATCTCTTTCGCGACCAATTAGGAGAAGTAGCTTAGTGGTCAATTCCTCCAGTGGTTGTGTCTTTTAACGTTAGAAGAAGGATGCCAAGTTGTGTAAGGATGGACACGATGTTTTCTTGACGTGTCCAAGCTCCGGTTGCTCATCGCGTCTGACATGCCTCTACGTGAGGCAAAGGTAACTTACCTTCGAGAAGCTATCGTACGCAACGAGAAGGGGTACTTCCGCCGTACATATTCGTCCGCTGCCAACGGACACTTGAGCCCAGCCCCTGTTCATGATTCCTCTCCGCCTTTCCAACGAGTGGCACCGAATATCAGCTCCTGGATGTGGTGGTCCGCATCCGAGTGGGGCCGAAGCCGTATGTGTATCTTCGACACCAAAATCATCTCACTGATCGGAGTTCGGCACGGAGTAGCCTTTGATCGCTGCGACGAAAATAGTTGGCTCAGCCAATTGACAGCGCAAAGTTGGTCTTTGAAGCGGTGATGACTTCATCCTTACATCAGCTGTCGCGGTGACGCGGAGCTTACAGACACCGACGCCGGCGCCGTCTCTCCGTCCTGCGATGTAGTGGGGAAACAGAGGTCTCTCATATATCATCGACTATGATGAGATGTCGCTGGGAAATGCCAGCCGGAGAACACAAAAATCACGTTGGACTACTCAGAATCATGGGCAGAATCGATACTCACATTCATGCTTTTCCTCCGGCGTACGTTGCTGCGGTCGAAGCGGCCGGGGGTGATCCATCAGGCTTTCCCTCGCCAGATTGGTCCTTGGAAGCCACCTTCAGCTCGATGAACTCAATCAGCACATCTAACGGTAATTAAGCCACTCTGAACTTATCTGAATTCACATATTAAGATGTTTTCCATAGCGATATTGTCAGTGTCGGCGCCGGGACCCTCCATCGCTGGCGCATGTGCCGCGGGCCGCAAGCTGGCTCGAGATCTGAACCAGCATCTGGGCAACCTTACTACGAACCCAAAGTCCGAGCAAAGACTCGGGTTCTTTGGGGCGCTTCCGGACTGGCAGGATGTCGAAGGCACTCTCGCTGAGCTCGACTTCCTTTTCGGGGAACAGAGGCCGTGTTTCGGCGTTACCGTCTTCACGTCTTACGGTGACAGGCTGCTCGGTCATCCTTCCTTCAAGCCGATCTGGCAGAAGCTTCAGGCCTACAACGCGTTAGTGTTCACGCACCCAACGTCCCGCGAGGTGACACCCAGGTTCATCGCGGACAACCTCCCACAACCCATTGTTGACTATCCCATGGCAACCACCCGCATGGCGGTAGACCTGGTGTTGACTGGAACAATGCGTGCCTGTCCCGACGTCGACGTCATTTTTTCCCATGCTGGAGGCACTCTGTCCTTCCTTGCGAATAGGGTTATGGGTTCCTTGAGGATACCCTCAGTCGAAGAGATGGTTTCAACCGACTTCGATAAGGCCGAAGCTGACTTTGCTCGCTTCTACTACGATACGGCCTTGAGTACTAGTCCAGCCCAGCTACTTGGCTTGCTTGAATCTGCAGAACCATCGCATGTTCTATTTGGATCCGACTTTCCGTACTGCCCCCAGCCGGTAGTTGAGATGCAAACTCAGCTCTACGACAACTTCGTTGATACCAACTCTCGAGGGGCGGTAATCAATCCTGAAGTTCTTCGACAAAACTCGAAGGCTCTTCTGACCAAGCACCAGCAAAATTGCAACATAAACTGGGACTACAATGCTAGCACTGGGAGGGAGACAAAGATTTGAGGTCGTCTAAGTAGATTGAGTAATTCATTGAATAGTCTATGGATGATCGCTTGCGTTATGATATGCGTCTGTCGAATGGTTCCGTCTTTGGCATCCTGCTCTTTCAAGTCTACTCAGCATCAACCCACTCAAAGGGCAACTCGCCATGTTGGAGCCTGTCAAATCTCTCCCGCTCCTCGGGCGACATATCGGCGCGCAAAGCAGCCGCCTCGGCGCTCAGGTCGTCCACCTCCACATCGGCCATGGCATCTTCCAGCCCGGAAGCTCCCTCCTCGTGCTCCACTTCGTCGTCGCTGTCATCCATTTCGAAGTCATCGTCATCCGCGTCGTCAGCGTCTTCCGCGTCGCCAACGTCCTGCGCGATGCGCCTTCGCTCCTCCTCCTGGACCCGACGGCGATAGGCCTGCAGCGCGACAATGCACTCATCGTGACGGAAGTCGTGGCTCGGCCACCCATGCGCGAGGTAGATCTCTCGGGGCTCGGCAAGATTGTCCTTCGGACCGAGAACCTCGGCGTCCAGCTCCTCTGTCGGCGGCAGCGGGATCAGGTTCTGGCCCAGCTCTGGAACTAGCTGGACGAAGTAATCAGCCACAGAGTACGACTGAACGGTCCGCCACGGCTTGTTGCGCGGGACCTTGCCGACCTCGTAGATCTTCTCTCTGAACGGGGAGAAGATTCCTCGACTGCAGTCCACGATCCACCAGTACGGAACCGAGGTTGTCGATCTCCAGCGCTCGCCGTGAGTTAGCGCGACGACGTCCGGAGGCAGATCCATCGGCCCAGCTGGGGTCGAGCTCATCGGCAGAGCAGCGAGTTCGAGAAGGCCCGCGTCGCCGCGGTCGGACCACTGGCTAAAGTCACCCATGTGACGGAGATAGCGCACGGCTTTGGAGTGTGG